TTGCCACAATTTTCGTAGAAATCCAATGGTCAGATCTAGTCCCAAATGCGTTGTAAGAACGAAAAGTGTTATATATTGTTATGAAATTTCACGCGGTAAGTGATCCACGAATGGTGAACCGTAAGTGGGGAAATTGAACAAGTTAACTGCATTCACTTGAAAAGAAACCATAGTACTAGTTACAAGTTAATAACACTTGTGACGGAACATCCTATTACCTATAACTACTTCTATGCAGGGTGAAGAAAAATTCGTAAAAGTAGATTTTCCTGAGTCAACCGTTTAGCGCTTTTCTTAGTCCCTCACTTTCAGTTCAATAATGTAAATTCACAAGATAACACATTATGCAAAAATAGTTCCTTACGCGTTACACTAGGATAATTTCGAGCAGCCAAAGGCAAGTCTTCACACAAAGTGATGATTCCTCAACAATTATTGTGAACTTCCAGTCTCCGACTCAAGCATGAAATAACAAGCGCACACAACATTCTCAACTGATTTCTTTCGCAAAGAGATAGATGTGCTCGAAAATTTCTGCGACTGATCGCAATAAGAGTTGAAAAAATTTGCAGACGAGATCTCAAACTCGTCACCACATTTAGCAGTAGGGCCTTAGCATATATGGCCAACAAAGTTGAAGTTACATCGAAGCAAGCAATGAAACAAAAGCAATAAGACCTCTTAACTTTACGCGTCATTTTCTGCTATTAATATCTGAAATTTGCTTAACTTATGATGGCTCCATAGTTTCTGCAATAAAAGTTTGCGGATTCACACATCACATCAACCCTCAGAACTTGGTAAATTCTCCCTCAGCTCATCATAGAAAAGTGAAATTTTTACGAGGCATATCAACGTAATTTAAGTGACAGATAACAAAGAAGCCTTAGGGACAGATGATTGCTAGTTTAGGAGCGTCTTTATTCAAAATCAACAGCGATTCGCTGTGTAGAGACTGGACTTTAGATAAAACTTGACATTATAAATGTTATCAATAGTGAATGATGGTCAGTCTGGCTTTCCAAAAATCAAAATGTAACTTCTTGACTTACAGCATAAAGAGATAGGTGACACAGGGAAGATGAAGAGTCGCTAGGCTACACAAGATGACTGTACTCAACACAGATCTGGATGTTCAGTCCCGTTGGTTAGCGGGCATCTGGGTAGAAAGGAGGATATTCAACAGAAAGGTTTGGAATTTTAGCAGAATCCTCGGTAGCAAGGTGCGCGTAATGTACACCCATCAAAATCAAACAAAAAATGTTACACAATTTATTTTCCGTGTCAGAATGCTTAAAAAATAGAAATAGTCAACGGAAAGGTGTGAAAAATCCAGTACATAGCAAGTCCAATACTTCAGATTCTTTCGTCAATCCTCAGCGTGAAAAAGAGCAGAGAAGGGTGGGCTCCTGCTAGTTCGTCCCAC